GGAGGGAGGGAGGAGGAAGGGGGAGGGGGGAGGGAGGGAGGGAGGAGGCAAGCCCCCAGGGGCCAACTCCAGAGGGACAGATGCTCTGGGGTAAGCAGTGGTCACAGCCCCCCGAGAACACATGGCAGGCCTGAACCAAGGATCTGGGCTTTTAGGATCAAGGTCAGGTGAGACACAGGTAGGGGCTGGGACTGTGGGCCCTGCATTCAGCTGGAGTCCTCTGAGCTCCACCTTCAGTGAAAGACCCAGAAAAACAGCCCCACCTTCCTGGGACACTTGGAGGGACTTGGTCTGGATCTGGGTGAGAAAAAGAAGCCCCCCACAAAATTTCTAACACAAAGTCCATTTTCACAAGGTTGGATTTTACCTACTGTACTTTGTATAGAAATACACAAGCTAAAAATTTAATATAAAAATCTGTCCCGGGCTTCCCCGGTGGCGCAGTGGTTGGGAGTCCGCCTGCCGATGCAGGGGATGCGGGTTCGTGCCCCGGTCTGGGAGGATCCCACATGCCGCGGAGAGGCTGGGCCCGTGAGCCATGGCCGCTGGGCCTGCGCGTCCGGAGCCTGTGCTCCGCGGCGGGAGAGGCCACAACAGTGAGAGGCCCGCATACCGCAAATAAAAAAAAAAAAAAAAAATCTGTCCCTGGCTGGCAGCATCCCAGTGGCACCAGGCAGGAGCAAATCTAAAACTCCTCGGATTGGGAAGGAAGCATTTTGATGTCAGACTAACAGAGTCCCGAGGATGGAGCCTCAGCCGTGGGAAGATCTGAACCCAAATTTCAAAGTCCGCGCAGAGACCAGCACGAAACACGGCAAGGGGCAGGGCCAGACTCCAAGGATGTCAGGCAGTAGAAAGACGCAGAGAATTACAGACGTGAGAAAAGAACAAGAAATACCAGCTGATCTGAAAAAGAACTTAGAATTTTCAGAAATGAGAAATACGGCAACTGAAATTAGACACATAATAAGCAATTTCAACAGCTGATTAGATCCGACCAAGGAGAGAAGTGCTCAGCAGAGGGACAGACCCCAGGAGACACTGAGAAAGCTGCTCAGGGAGATGACGGGGCGGGGGGCATGTGAGACAGGCATCAGGAGGTGTCGGGGGCACAGAATACACAGGGTTCGAATCGGAGCACAGGGGCAGGTCTGTGAGGACGGGAGGTAGGCGACATCTGAAGGGACAGGGCGGAGAAATGTCCACAGCTGTTCAAAGAGCTGAATCCTCCGATCGGGAAGCACAGGGAGTTCTAAGCAGCCCTAGGAAAGATCAGTCCACACCAGACACATGTCGTAGACATGCAGGAGCCCAAGGGGAGGGCAAGCTCACGGCAACCTGAGGAAAGAGCTCGATAACCTACAAAGACAGGGGATCGGACGGAACAGCAAGAGCAGAAAACAGGAGACAGGGCAGTAAGATCCTCCAAGTGTCGAGAGGAAATGCTGCCAATAAAAAATTCTTGCTCCAGGCTTGGGGAGGGGCGCCTCAGGGTGGCCTAGGTGACAGTGACCACCGGACTCTGGGCCTCTGCCGACTCCTCCAGAAACCCACAGCTCAACAGGAAAAACCAGCAACACAGGAAAGCCCCCGCTGTCCGCATGCCTGGAAGGCGCAGGACACGCGGGCGATAACACGTGAGCCTCTGCAGATCCCGCGTCTGGCCACAGTCGGCACAGGACGGGACAGCGTGTCCTTCGCGGGGAGGCTGACCAGAGCTGTGGACTCAGGGAGCAGCCCCGGGAGGCCCCTGGGGGCAGAGGTCAGGGCCTTGGAGGCTGCAGCACTCACAGCAGGAGCCCCCGGGGCCTCCAAACTGAGGACAGAAGCTGGAGAAACCAGGGCGGGGAGAAGAAAACACTTAACGGCAAAGACAAACTGCTCAGGGAGCAGAAGAGAAGAGGGTCCCGCAGAAGACACAGCAACGATGGGCGTAAGACAAATGAGGGGAAAACAAAACAGGAAGGAAGGAAGGATTACAGGGACCAGAAAGAAAATCAGACACAAAAGAGGACCCAAGTCAGGTATCAGCGGGGTCTCAAAGGAAGAAACCTGAAACGCTGGAACAGAGTAAAAATTTACATACATTGGACCCACCTCCTAGAGTAATGAAAATAACAGAAATAAACAAATGGGACCTAATGAAACTTAAAAGCTTTTGCACAGCAAAGGAAACCATAAACAGGACGACAACCCTCAGAATGGGAGAAAATATTTGCAAATGAAGCAACGGATAAAGGATTAATCTCCAAAATATACAAACAGCTCGTGGAGCTCAATATCAAAAAATACAAACAACCCAAATAAAAAATGGGTGGAAGACCTAAATAGACATTTCACCAAAGAAGACTCCCGCACTGTTGGTGGGAATGTAAATTGATACAGCCACTATGGAGAACAGTATGGAGGTTCCTTAAAAAACTAAAAATAGAATTACCATCTGACCTAGCAATCCCACTGCTGGGCATATATCCTGAGAAAACCATAATTCAAAAAGACACATGCACCCCAATGTTCATTGCAGCACTATTTACAATAGCCAGGACATGGAAGCACCCTATGTGTCCACTGACAGATGAATGGATAAAGAAGACGTGGCACATATATACGATGGAATTGTATATATTCCATATATACAATGGAATATTACCCAGCCATAAAAAGGAATGAAATTGGGTCATTTATAGAGATGTGGATGGACCTAGAGTCTGTCATACAGAAGCAAGTCAGAAAGAGAAAAACAAATACTGTATGTTACTGCATGTATATGGAATCTAGAAAAATGGTACAGGTGAACCTATTTACAGGGCAGGAATACAGACGCAGACGTAGAGAACGGACATGTGGACACAGTGGGGGGAAGGGGAGGGTGGGACGAATTGGGATATTAGGTTTGACATACATACACTACCACGTGTAAAACAGATAGCTAGTGGGAGCCTGCTGTATAGCACAGGGAGCTCAGCTCGGTGCTCCGTGACGACCTAGATGGGTGGGATGGTGGGGGGTGGGAGGGAGGTCCAAGAGGGAGGGGATATATGTATACATATAGCTGATTCACTTCATTGTACGGCAGAAACTAACACAACACTGTAAATCAATTACACTCCAATAAAAAATAAATAAATAAATAAGTCACAAGGATGTAATGTATAGTACAGGGAATACAGTCAACATTTTGGGTGGGAGGGAGGGGATGCATGTAGACATACAGCTGATTCACTTCATTGTACAGCAGAAACTAACACAACATTGTAAAGCAATTTTACTCCAATAATAAAAAGAAAAGAATTATTGGATACAATTAAAAGAAAAGAAAAAATATTTAAATAGAGAGTTCAAGTACACAGTCCCGAAATAAAAGATGGCTGTTTTCTTCCCCTTGCAAAGGCACAAGGCCCTCCGGGGAAATCTTACCCAGAGTGGGTCAACCTCAAAACACAACGAAGGGGAAACCATCAAGCCATTCATCAGGCAAAACTGGGCTGGTCTCAGGAAGGCGGAGGAGCCACTTAACAAAATGCCCACGGGGACCCAAGCTGAAGGTTTTGTGCCCAAAATGTGGGTCAAATGAAAAGGCTCTGATAGCAGTTGCAGGGACTGAAGCACCCGCCCCGCGCGCCGCCCGCCTCCCAGCGCCCCCCCAGTACTCGATGTGGATGAAGTCCCTGAGGCGCTCCTCCACGCCCACCAGCTTGCAGTAGTTAATCCTGTAGGTGGCGTTAATCAGCGTGATCTTTTTCTTGTACACTTTGCCGATATCAAAGTCCTAGGAAAAGCAGATAAAAAGTTACTGCTCCAAGTTTTCTGGCGGATGCTTCTCGGCACCTGACATTCCCGCCTGGGAGATGGGGACACCCTCCATGGTCTTGTAGGACCCCCGCCTCCAGCAGGAAGAGGCCTCCTGGGGACCAGCGGGTGGGGGGCCCCCAGCAAGGGTCGGGTGGTGCCTGGGTCCTCCAGAGGGACCAGGAAGGTGTGACATGCCAGCCCCCCAGGACAATCGCCCTCCTGGGGCTGGTGTCTGACCCCTCGTGTGAGACTGGGCCCTGTCCCCTCAGCCCCAGGCGAGGACCCTGGGCTCACCTTGAAGTGGACGAGCTTGGGCTTGCTGTTGAAGGGACACCCTCTGAACTCGCGCCTGGATGCCACCTGCTTGTGGGTCACCCCGCGGCGCAGCTGTTGCACAGTGTGCGCCAGGATGTCCTTGTCGGTCTTCGTTCCGCCCATGGGCTTCTGGCCCACATCCTCCTTGGGCACCTGGGGTTTCGCGGGGACAGTGGTCGGCTCGGGAGCCCCCCCAGGCCTCCCCGAGGTCAGCTGGGGAGTAAAGGAAATGGACAGCCCGGAGCCGGGGTCCACCATGGCCGCATGGGGCCGGGGTGGGGTGGACACCAGCAAGGCGGGGGAGGGGGTATGGCAGGGTCAGGCGAGAAACAAGGGGCCGAGCAGGGCCGTCCAGGATCCAGAGGATTTCCAGGAAATAATGGCAGAGGGGTATTTTCTAGATTTTAAAATCAGGCCAAGAGAAAGTTCTTGAAAAGCTCTACAGGAAGCAACATTTTTTCAGTGGCACAAATAAAGGTGCCTCCCTGACCGGCTTAGTGACTTGAAGAGGGACCCTCTGGGGGCCTGGCTCCCGGTGCTCCTGCTGGCCCAGGGCTGGCATCCTCCTGCCTCGCTCTCCTGGGTGGGTGCCGGCCGCTGACTGGTGGTCCCCAGGGAATGGCCGAGCCTGAGCAGAGCAGCGGCAGGCCTCCTCAGAACCAGCGGAACCAAAATGGCTTTGCCCTCAGAGCAATGGGAACCAACTTGTACACAGACCAAGGCCGGGCGATGTCCTCCAGGTGGCCGCGGGCCTCGGCTGACCAGTGCAGAGACAGAGCCAGGGCCTGTGTCCTGCTGCATGCAGTGGACACTCGCTAACTTCTCGGCTCCCAGAGCTGTGCTGCCCTTTTAGAACCAGGACGACCAGTGCTCTGGATAGTGCGTGTTTCGTGACAAAAGGCCGTCAAAGGAAGTGTGAACTCATGCCTTTTTCTAGCAACACATTTCCCCAGTAGTAAGCTGGAGAATTAGGACTCGGCCCCTACCCCTCGAGCCCCCTGCCTGCACCCCTCTGCGTGTGGCCACCACCGGCCCTGTGGTTGTTTGGGAGGAAGGTAGCTGGGGGGAACTGCAGAGCAGCCCCCGCGAGGGGGGCCGCCACGGTCGCCAGGACAGGGTGGAGACGTGGAAGACGGATGAAAAGACGTGGCCGCGTGTCCTAGGGGCTACCTGGTACGGCTTGCAGTCCTCCTTCCAGAGCCCGGGGATCTCCGGCCGAGACAGCGTCCCCGCCTCCCGGCCAAGGCTCCCCCTGCCCACCTGGATGGACTCACTGGACACGGCCTTCACCAGCAGAGAGGCTTGGGGTAACGCAGACCTGCCCTCCTGGAGCTGGGGAGAGGAACGCAACAGCTTATTCTAGAAAACAGAGATTGTACTGACCGGGAGGAAGAAAGTACGAACCCTCGGGACTCCAGGGCCTTGGCAGACAAGGCCCCGCTCTGCACTCAGAGACTAGAGCACACACGGGTTTGCAGCTTCTATTTACAGCATGAGTGTCTTTACACATCGTGGAAGTCTGGTCTCCAACGCCCACAAGAGCCACAAAACACTGATTTATGGACACCCCGGAACACCCTTCACGGACCCTCAGCTGCTCTAGGGCCAGACGGGGCCTCCCTCCGGGGACATCAGGCTGACACAGGGACAAGAATGGAGGGCGATGTTGCTGCAGGTGTGAGAAAGGCCCCACGTGGAGAAGGGCAGGAGCACGGCTGGGGGTGAGAGGACAGAGAGGCACGGCTTTGGGGGGCACCCACGAAGCAGCCTGGGGGCCGCAGCTGGCAGCGCATTGCTGGAGCGAGTGACCTGGGCCTTCAGGCTGGGGGTGCACAGGGCAGAAGCAGAAGGGCTGCTGGGCTCAGGATGGGGTCCCGACATCCCTACCTCACACCCTCAGGGACAGGTAAGCAGGTCACCTATGGGGCGACCGGCACAGGGCCGGCCCTCTATGTGAGGACTGAGTGCGGGAATGGAGGGAAGTGGCCCGGCTCCAGGGCAAACATGCGTGGGGGGTGGACAGGGGCACACGTCTCCCCTGGGCCGCGATGGGCCTTTGGTCACCAGCCTGGCTCTGGCATCTGGGGACAGGTAAGGTGGCCCAAGACAATTCTGTTCAGGGGACATGTGGCGGTGGGGGTCCGCTTCCCCAGGCGGGCCAGGCGCCGGAGACCGGGGGGAGCCGCGAGGGACATGGGACACGTGCACCAGGGCTGGGGCCGCCTGGCGACCAGAGGCTGTGCCTGAATCCGGCGAAGGGGCAGGAGCGCTCTCCGTGGTCCTGATCTGAGCTGGCCGGTGCGGTCCAGGGTAGCAGGGGCGTCCGCTCACCGGGGGGCAGCAGGGCGCGTCCGCCAGGCCCTTCCCGGCATGGAAAGCGGCCACGTAGCTCTGGGTCTGGTCTCTCAGGATCGGCCGGCCCGCGGGTCTGGCGGGCGAGGGCCTCTGCTTCCTCCTGGCCTCCTCGGCCTCCTCCTTCAAGATCCGACTCACAATCTCGTGCTTCCTGAGCTTCTGCTCCTCCTCGAAGGCGCTGCGGGGGAAAACGCCAGCTGCGCCCGGACCCCGAGAGGCTCGGCCCACAGGAACCGACGGAGGGAGCCCAGAAGGGCGGCCGGGCCAGAGACCCGGGACGCGAACCTCCGGCCCAGCGCCGTCCCCGCTACAAGCCTCGACCTCGTGAGCTGCCACGCCCCCCACTCCGGGTTCCCAGGCGCCGCTGGGCGCCCTGAGGCTCAGACCAGGGCAGCCTCAGGGCTGGAGGCCAGTCACTCAGTCATTTCTGCTGCTCCTTGCTGGCACCTCCCACCTGCCAGGACTAAGGGCTCCGAGGCAGGAGGAGCTGCCCCCGGGACCCCTGCGGGCAGGCGATGACCCAACGCTGGGGTTGGCACTCAGGGCGCCGCGACTCCCCAGTGACAGGACCGGGTGGCCACACCTGGGCAGGTGCTGACAGTGACCACGATGGGCGGGGCTGCTTGTGGGGGAAGGGACAGGCCCTCCAGGATGAAGAGGAAGTGACAGAACCTTGTGTGCAAGGCTGGGCTGAGGCAGGAGAGTTGGCCACCTCACCCTTGCATCTTGGGAAGCCCCCGGGCGGACCCCTGTGTCGCAGGTTGGGTGCAGCCTGGGGAGCTGAGAACGGGGAACTTGCAGGCCGAGGGGTTCTTAGGGGATGACGGGGTGCAGTGTGGACTGAGGCAGCACTGAGCCCCGGTTTGGGGGAGCCCAGAAAGTGAGCCCCGGCTGCCCACAGCCTCTGGGAGGGAGGAGGCCACGGGCGGGGTATGCCCGGGGCAGCAGGGGCAGTGGGGTCTGTGCCTGAGGCCCAGGAGAGGCCCCGCCTGCTGGGGGCTGGAGAGCAGGATGC